AGATGCAAGGGGGGAGGTGGTTGAACTGGTTATACTCCATATACTTGGGAGGTTTAGCACAAAGACTTTAGGAATTTACTTTAAAGATATGCAGTAAACATTTTTTTTGCCTCAATTCAGGGTGAGGGAGTTTTAGCAAAAAGCAAGCCTCAAAGCAGCCTTGTTACAATGCATACCTGATTCTCCGTGGGAAAACATCAGTGGGTTCAGTTCCGGTGTGCCACTTGCTCCCCGCAGGTTTTCCAAATCGGACTGGGCTACATTTGCCATGTCATTCGGATAGGTTTCCTATAGACTTGCCCCTCCAGCGTCAGAAGCAAGAGAACTTTTAAAAGGCTAGTGCAGTTAAGAGATGGATTAGTGTAGTGACAATACAGGTAGGGAGAAGTGCTTAGATTTGAATACATTGTGTAGGCACAGCTTCAGAATTTACTTATGGACTGGGTATGGAGTGTGAGAGAAAGGAAATTGAGGCTGGTTTAAGCCATTGACCTGAGTTAGAAGGATGGGGTTGCCGTTTACTGGAATGGGGAAGACTACAGGACCAGCAGGTTTGGGGGGAGGATTGAGTTTTGCCCACCTCAAGTTGCTTGGGGATATTGATTTTTTTTTTTTAAGATTTTTATTTATTTATCTTTAGAGGGGAGAGGGAGAGAAACATCAATGTATGGTTGCCTTTCGTGTGTCCCCTGCTGGGAACTGGCCTGCAACCCAGGCATGTGCCCTGGGTGGGAATTGAACCACGATCTTCTAGTTCACAGGCCTGTGCTCAATCCACTGAGCTACATCAGCCAGGGCTAGGGATATTGATTTTAAATCGGTTATTAAGAAACAAGACTCAGAAAGAAACTTTGACCCTCCCTCCTTTACTGCGTGAGAATTCCAGATGGAAAAAAACTTGTTCAGGAAGGAAATCTTAACATATTTAGCCTAATTTCAGTTGAGTGGGGTAGATTGGAGGCTGTCAAACCCAGCCCTGTTAACTAGGCACCCCTTGCAGCATCTCATTGTTTCCTGGCTGCTTAGCAAAAACTTACCTGCCTTTTATGTTCCACTCTTCCACAGTTATCTGTAAATGGCCAGCTCTCACTTTTGAAATCTAAGATCTCATTCCCCACCGTTTCTCCTGTCTAAAATATCATATACCCAGTTTTGCTTCACTGTCTTTGGAATTTTCATCCTTGTGAAAATGTATCAAAAATTTGATTTTCTCCTCTTCACTGTTGATTATTAGCCTAGTAGAAGAACCTAGAAGGTAGGAGGAAAGGTAGGTTATTTTTAGCCCCTAGTTTGTTTGTAAGGTTTGAAATGTCAGTAAAAGCTATCTGTTTTAAAATGTGAGTTATGCTTGTATCCTATTAGACTTCCCTTTTTGTAGCAAGGGAAGCTGATAGGAAGGAGGAATTGATACTTTATAATAAGAGTGAGGGATCTTGTTAGCTTTAGCCAAACTGTTGGTTTTTCTATGCTGTTTTTACCCTTTCCCTGATGCAGCTTGTTCATAAATTTCACTGATTGTTTTCACCTTTTTACTAGAAAAAAATCCAAAGTAAAGTCAAGCAAGTTTATTTTAAAATTTTATTTTTCTTTTTTACAGTTTTTCTTTAAGGAGAAAAGGTAGAAGTTGAGACTTTTTAATTAAACCTTATTCTGTATTTCAGTTCATGCTAGATCTTTATTTGATCATATATGTTCACCTTGGTTTAACCCAATTTATAGATATTTAGTTGCTTTTGACAAGAGCAAAATTCTGGCCTAAATTAAAATATAGCTGCTGGAGAGTAAGCAACACAGGAATAATTAATCATTCAATAACCGTGGGCCGATTAAGAAGATTGCTTACATCCCCTGAGTGTACATTGGAGCTCTGAACCAGCCTTTGGGCCTCAGGATCCTGCTATACGCACGAACTTTCTGGGGACTGTTGCCATAACCAGTCAAAAGTAGTAAACATCTCTTTCTTACAAACTGCGCCTCTATGAAAGAACTGCGGGCAGTTCACCATTTTTCTTCCCCTTTTTATGTGTAGAGAAAGAGCAACAAGGGATAAACAAGTTTTTACTGGGCTAGCCCCTGAAAGGTTTACTTAGGCTCCACCGATGAAGAAATGTCAATCAGCCACAAAGTTAGGTAGTATAGATAGAGCTTTATTGAGGTTTGCGCACCAGGTGAAGTTCTCTGGTCTGCAGAGTGGGGCCAGGAAAGTCACGCCCAAGCAGGGAATATGGTGGGGTTTTATTTTGGTTGGCTCTCTTCATGGGAGCTGCGGATTGGTCCCCTTTGAACAAAGCGGCAATATATCATTGGTGGTTCTCCTCTGGCGGGTTGCTATGCGGATATCTGTTTTGGCAAAGCCCACCCTTTCGGCTCTCTGGTTTGACATCAGTTGTCTTTTCCTGGTTGCAGTTCTGTAGCAAGAGACCTGCTTAGACAAGCCCAGACAAGTCAGAAGGACAAGGTCCCTTTGCTGAGCCACTAAGATAAGGAGGGGTGAACAACTGCTAAGTAACTAAGAACTAAGAACAAAAGAACATTGTATGACCCTATCAGCAGCCCTGCTTTCTCAGCAGCCCTGCTTTCTTGCTTCTGTAAACCTGCTTCTGCCACGTAGGCTTAGTGAAATCGCTTCTGCATGCCACACTATAAAAACAAGCCCCTGCCTGAGCTGGGGACCCAGAATTTGGAGATTGCCTCCTATAGGTCCACATGCATAAATAAAGTTACAGTTTAGCCTCCATTTTGTCCTACCCCGCTCATCCTGACACCCACAAACAATGGGACTGAGGAAAACAGGCCTTGCTAGATTTCTCCCTGATACATTTAGTTTATATTATGATACTAATATTCCCTTCCTTTGAGCAGATTTTTCTGTCGGAATTCTTTTTTAAAAAATATATTTTATTGATTATGCCATTATAGTTGTTCTATTCCCCCCTTCATTTCCCTCCACCCTGCACACCCCCTCCTCCACCATTCCCCCCTTTAGTTTATGACCATGTGTCTCAAGTTCTTTAGCTTCTATATTTCCCATACTATTCTTGCCCTCCCCCCATCTATTTTCTACCTACCATCTCTGCTACTTATTTTCTGTACCTTCTCCCACTCCCCTGTTGCTAACTCTCTTTGTGATCTCCATTTCTATGGTTCTGCTCCTGATCTAGCTGTCCTCTTAGTTTCCTTCTGTTTTAGGTGTGGTTCTTAATAACTGTGAGTTTGCTGTCCTTTCACTGTTCATATTTTTGCTCTTTTTTTTCGTAGATAAGTCCCTTTAACATTTCATATAATAAGGGCTTGGTGATGATGAACTCCTTGAATTTGATCTTATCTGAGAAGCACTTTACCTGCCCTTCCATTCTAAATGAAAGCTTTGCTGGGTAGAGCAATCTTGGTTGTAGGTCTTTGGATTTCATCACTTGGAATACTTCTTTCTAGTCCCTTGTTGCCTGTAAAGTCTCTTTTGAGAAATCAGCTGACAGTCTGATGGGAACTCCTTTGTAGATGACTGTCCCCTTAGCTCTTGCTGCTTCTAGGATTCCTTCATTTTAATCATGGGTAATGTAATGATGATGTGCCTTGGTGTGTTCCTTCTTGGGTCCAACTTCTTTGGGACTCTCTGAGCTTCCTGGATTTCATGGAAGTCTATTTCCTTTGCCAAATTGGGGAAGTTCTCTTTTATTATTTGTTCAAATAAGTTTTCTACTTGTTGCTCTTCCTCTTCCCCTTCTGGTATCCCTATAATTCGGACGTTGGAACGTTTAAAGATGTCCTGGAGGTTCCTTAGCCTCTCCTCATTTTTTTGAATTCTTGTTTCTTCATCCTTTTGTTTGGTCATTTTTTTCTTCCTTCTGGTCCACTCCATTGATTTGAGTCCCAGTTTCCTTTCCATCACTATTGGTTTCCTGTGCATTTCCCTTCATTTCAATTAGTTTAGCTTTCATATGTTCCTCTAATTTGTGACTAAAATCAACCAGTTCTGTGAGCATCCTGATCACCAGTGTTTTGAACTGTGCATCTGAAAGGTTGGCTATTTCTTGGTTGCTTAGAGTTATGGGCTCTGGGGCTTTGAGTTCTTCTTGAGCCATGTTTTGGTCTGTTTGAGCCTGTTATGTATAAGGAAGGGAGCCTTAGGTGTTCACCAGGGTGGGGCAACTCAGTCGCTGGGTTGCGATGCTGTGCGGGGGGGCGGGGTCAAAGGGGGGCAATAGCGGTCCCCTCTGCTGCTTCCCACTGCTGGCGCCTTTGGGGTCTGTCTCACTGCTTGCTCCTTCACCAGTTTATCTGCACATGAATGTGTGACCGAGGTCAGCCTGCCGGAGAGGGTCAGTCCCCTGTGACTCCACACCTGGGATCCGCCCATGGCTGCCTGCATGCCTGGGTTGGTCTGGTGGATCTTTCCTGCCCGACCCCACTCCGCTGCTGGCTTCACCCTTCTTACTGGTCTGGCTGAAAGGTTCGTTGTTGTCAGACTTCCCTATAGTTCAATTTTCTGTGGTTCGGCTGCGATTTTGTTGCTGAAACTTTGTTATTTTTAAACTTGGTTGTGCGAAGGCACAGTGTTTCCACCTATGTCTCCATCTTGGCGGAAGTCCTTCTGTCGGAATGCTTTTAGGCAGGATGGCAGCAGGGTGTGAAAGGTTCTTTCTGGGTCTCTTGTTTCTTAAAAACCAGCTTAATCTCAATATACCAAAAGGCTTATTTGGGGGTGGCAAAACTTTGGTCCCTTTAGTCCCGTCTTTGAAACTTTAAAAAGTTTCATATTTCAGAAGCTAAGTTGGTAGGTTGCATAAATGGTTCTTACTCTTGATTAAGCTCCAGTTTTTTTGGCAGGATCTGTACTAGAAAGTGATGGTATATCAAGATCTCACTATAGGTATATTGCATTTGTGTAGGGTGTTCTGACATAATGTGTCTTTTTTACTTCTGCTGGCTGCTTTTTTGGTAAATTCTAAAGAGAGAATTTTCCACTTTAGAAGAGATTTTATAATTTTTTATCCTTTTAGATTTATCAACAGACTAATTTCTTCACTGCCAGAATGGCATCACTTACTACCTCCGCCCAGTGTTCGGCATCTGACAGTGCTTGCAGGAGCCCTCCGAGGCAAGTCAAGCAGGTAAATCACTTTTAGGCATTCCTATTTTTTTTTTTTTTTAAGTTTTTAAAAAATTGAGGTGGCGCATGTAGCTGACTTCATTGATGGTGGGATTTTATATAGAGCAGAAGTATTGTTTTAAAAATGTCATCAGGGAAACTAGTAAACAGTATTAACACTCGTAAATTTGAACTGATCATTGATTAAATAAATATATGGAAGTATACTGGTTGCTCAGTGGTACATTTTGAAAACCAGCATGTTTTAGGGTATAGGTGTCTAGTGGGGAATTTGGGACCAAGTTACATAAGTTTGTGTTTTATCTCTCACTTTATTCTAATGAATTTTTAAATTGTAGATAAAGCAAATGTATTCTTATAAAGGATTAAAACTTTATAGTATACTTATCTTTAAAGTATTTATAGAGACTTTGGACTCATCTCTTCCCCCAAAGTCCTTTTCCCCTAAGATAATACTACTAATCAATTTGTTGTGTCTTGTTCCAGATCTTTTCCCTAACATATCAGAGTACATCATTTTTGTTTTGTATTTTCACAAAAAGTATACACTATTATGTAGTATGTAGTGCGATTTGTTAAAAAAGTGGGATATGGACTTGATGGGAAAGTGTGGCTTATATAATAAATGGTTTTGACATACATGGTCATTTCTGGAAAGAAACATATTAAGACCTCAAACCTTGTATAAAAACAAATTGCAGTAGATAAAGACTTAAATGTAAAAAGTGAAATGATTAAAAACATTAAAGAAAATTTAAGAAATATTTGTGAAACTTTAGAATGAGGGAAGCCTTAGGACAAAATTTTGTTAGGGTTAAGAGGAAGAGAGAAACAAATTTGACTACATAAAATTTAGAAAATAAAGTTGTGTGGCTACAGACAGACTTTCACAATCAAGAGTCAGGAGATGGTAAACAATATGATCTCATCTTTAAGGAACCTAAATAACAAAACAAACAATCAAAGAAAATATAACCAACGACACTGAAATAGAGAACAGGCTGACAGTGTCCAGAGGGGAGAGGGGAGGAAATTTCAAGGGGAAGGGGGAAGGGTTTACAGGAGCAAGTATAAAGGACACATGGACAAAAATTAGGGGGGGTGAAATGGGAGGGAGGTAGGAAGCACGGGGGTGGGGGATGGGTGGGCTGGGACGGGAGTAAAAGACAGAAAACTACTAAACAACAAAGTAAAATTTAAAAAAGATAGTAAACAAAGTCATTATCTCTTACATGGATATACTACATCTTGTTTATTTATTTATCTGCCAGTGATATTTGGGTTGTTTCCATCTTTTGGCTATTGTAAATAATGCTGCTGTGAATACTGATGTACAAATACATGCTTGAGTCCCTGTTTTTAGTTCTTTTGGGTGTATACCTAGGAGTGGAACTGCTAGATAATATGCAAGTTCTATGTTTAACTTTTTGAGGAACTGCCAAACTGTTTTCCACTGCATCTGCACCATTTCACGTTCCCACCAGCAGTGCATGAGGGTTCCAGTTACTCCACATTCTCACCAATACTATTTTCTTTTTTCCTCCTTATTATAGCTGTCTTAGTGGTATGAATGTGCTATCTTTTGAAAGTGTGATTCTTTAAGGAAAAAAATCATCTGAAGTTACCTTATGCATTGCAAGATTGTACAGTGTTAGATAAGTGACTACCAGTGTTAAAAAGTTGAAGGTTTTCTTGTTTCCTAGGTTATCAGAAACCATTCTAATTGAAATGTAAATATCAGGTTTATTTTATGTTTATTCCAGGTACGACCAAAACTGCCACTTTTGAAGATTTTACAGACAGCAGGTGCACAAGGTGAAATCTTCACTGTTACCCAGGTAAACTATCAAAATTCAGTTTAAGAATAGCGGAGAAATAAAGCCCTAGCTGGTGTAGCTCAGTGGATTGAGCGCGGGCATGCAAACCAGAGTATCACAGTTTGATTCCCAGTTAGGGCACATGCCTGGGTTGCAGGCCACTTCCCAGCAGGGGACACACAAGAGGCAACCACACATTGACATTTTTCTCCCCCTCTCTTTCCCTTCCCCTCTAAAGATAAATAAATAAAATCTTAAAAAAAAAAAGAATAGCAGAGAAATAGGAGCCAATGAATATGTAGTTCTGAACTCAGGCCTAAGACAGAAAGTTCTCCTGAGGTACTGGGGAGGCAACTTTCACTCTGTTTTAATGACCATCAATCCAATTAAGTTAAATTTCATATTTCCTTTAAATTTCTTTTTGAAGTGTGTTATCAGCTAAACATAATCATGAGTCTGTTGATCTCAGAATTAAAATGCAAAACATGTATAAGATTTTAAATAATGACTTGTCGATGATTTACAGGATGTGCTGCCAGGCAGGAATTAAAATGCTGTAGTTTTGCATTATAAATGTGTCAGATACTCTCTGGAGCACTGTGAGTTATTTTAAACACGTATGCATTTAAATAACTTATTTAGCTTCTCAAGGTATTTAAAAATATATTTTATTTATTTATTTATCTTTAGAGGGGAAGGGAAGGAGAGAGGGAGAGAAATATCAATGTATGGTTTCCTCTCATGCATTCCCTGCTGGGAAATGGCTCTCAATCCAGGCATGTGCCCTGACTGGGAATCGAACTGCGGTTGTTTGGTTCCCAGGCCCACACTCAATCCACTGAGCTGCACCAGTCAGAATGCTTCTCAAGCACTTTTTTGAAAAACAAAAACAAAACAATTCTTGAAGTGGAAAAGACACAGTATTGAAATGTTAACTCTTTCAACTGTGCTTGCTTTTAGTGAGGTAAACTCTTCCTGAACAGAAGAAAACAAAATTACTAAGCTTTTTCTGAGTTCTGTTAAAAAGCCTAACACCTGTCTGCAGTGCTGCAGCCCAAGTCATGGCAACTCATAAGGAAACAAGTCTGGGGGGCATTTCAGGTTCTCTAGGATACTCATATTTTCTTTATTATTTTAATAAACTAAGTACATCATTTTGGACTATATCTCTAAAATTCCTGTTAAGTGACTTTTTCAAATGTATTAAAACTGGATTTTAATATCAAAATTATGAGTTACGCTGTCTCTAATAATATAGCAGAATTTACCTGGATTAAGAAATGAAGTATGTAATATTCAGGGAAAATGTTTTATTGGGGAAGAAGTTGGACAGAGGCATTTTATGTGTTAGGCCCTGTGTTATGAATCTTGACCCTACCTGGTGTATAAAGAGGAATTTCCTAAGTACTTTTAAATATTGGTCCTCAGTATGTGCATTGAGGCAGTATAGTATAATGAGAATATACAGATTTAGAGTGGTGTATATTTTTTTGAAAGTTGGGTAGACATAAATATAATGCTTGTTCCCTCTTTTTTTGCCCCCCCTCCCCTTATCTAGTAGATGCTCTCCTTATCTTCTTTTCCCCTGGATATTTGATTAGCTCTGAGAACTTCGTTAATACTCGGACGACAGGTGGCCTCGGAGCATCATTGCTCCTAATATAATTCATTTGTATGTTTTTGACAAGCAGGGGGATAGAACTCTAATGATATTTTGGTTCCATGCAGGTCATGCACTATCTCGGCCAGTATATAACAATGAAGCAGCTGTACGATCCACAGGAGCAGCATATGGTATATTGTGGTGGAGATCTTTTGGGACAACTCCTAGGATGTCAGAGCTTCTCTGTGAAAGATCCAAGGTAAAAGAGTGAGGGTTTACTTTTGGGGTTGCTTATACCGTAAGTTATTAGTGGTTATATGTTCCTTTATTCCACAAATATTTAAGAGCCTACATAAGTCAGGTAGCTGATGAGGCACTGAGAACATAGTAGTGACCAAGAAGAGTCTCTGATTTTATGGAGCTTAAAGTGTGGTCAGACAGGTGCTCTTCCCCATCTTAATCAAATCATCACACTAACACATGGTAAAATTATAGTATGATAAACATTACAGAAAAGAGGTACATGAAGTTGTGATGTGTGGGATTTAGGATCTTTTTAAACATTTTCTGTTATTTTATTGATTATGCTGTTACAGTTGTCTTGATTTTACCTCTTTGTCCCCATCTGCCAAGCACCCCCACTCCCTCAGGCAATGCCCCCACCATTGTTCATGTCCATGGGTCAGATGTGTAAGTTCTTTGGCTACTCCATTTCCTATACTGTAATTTACATCCCTGTGGATATTCTATATTACCTATTGGTACTTCTTAATCCCCTCATCTCTGCAGCCATTCCTCCAACCTGCCCTCCCATATGGCAACCATCAAAACGCTCTCCTTGTCCATGATTCTGTCTCTATTCTTCTTCTTTGCTTAGATTGATTTTTAGATTCAATTATTGATAGATAAGTATTTTTGGCCACTTTATTGTTTATAGCTTTGATCTTTTTCTTGAATAAGTCGCTTTGGTGATGATGAACTCCTTGTTTTTTCTTGTCTGGGAAGCACTTGATCTGCCCTTCGATTCTAAATGATAGCTTTGCTGGGTAGAGAGCAGTGTTGGCTGTAAGTCCCTGCTTTTCATGACTTTGAATATTTCGTGCCTGTCCATTCTAGCCTACAAAGTTTGTTTTGAGAAATCAGCTGACAGTCTTATGGGAACTCCCCTGCAAGTAACTAATTTCTTTTTTCTTGCTGCTTTTAGGATTCTATCTTTATCTTTAACCTTTGGCATGTTAATTCTGATGTGTCTGGGAGTGGGCCTCTTTGCATCCATCATATTTGGGACTCTCTGTGCTTCCTGGGTTTGTGCTTCCTGGGTTTGCATGTCTATTTCCTTCATCAAATTAGGGAGGTTTTCTTTCATTATTTTTTCAAACAGATTTCCAGCTTCTTGCCCTTTCTCCTGGCATCCTTATGATGTGAATGTGAAACCTCTTGAAGTTGTCCCAGAGGCTGTTTATACTATCCTGGGGGGGGGGGTTGTTTGGTTTTTTGTGTTTGCATTGTGTTTTCTTCTCTTTGTTCTAATTGGTTGTGTTTTTCTTCCTTTATATTCTAAATCATTGTTTCGAATTCTCGGCTTCATTCACTCTACTGTTGTTTCCCTGTAAATTGTTCTTTATTTTAATTAGTGTATCCTTTGTTTCTGACTGGATCTGTTTTATGCTGTTGAGGTTCTCACTAAGCATCCTTATAACCAGTTTTTGGACTCTCATCTGATAGATTGCTTAGCTCCATTTTGTTTTGCTATTTTTCTGGAGTTTTGATCTGTTCTTTCATTTGGGCCATGTTCTTTGTTTCCTTCTTTTGGCAGCTTCCCTGTGTTTGTTTCTATGTATTAGGTAGAGCTCCTTTGACTCCATGTCTTGGTAGTGTGGTCTGAGATATTAGGTGTCCTGTAGGGTGCAGTAGCATAGCCTCCCCAATCACCCAAGCTGGGTATTCGAGGTGTGCCCTTCATGTGCTGAGTACACCTTCCCCTTGTATTTGAGCCTTGGTGGCTGTTGACAGATCAGTGGGAGGGATTTACCCAGGCTAGTCAGGGGCAAGGACTGCCTGTGACCACTGACCACTAATCTTCCCCTAATCTCCGTGGAGGATTAGCAGTGCAGGGGCAGGGTGGTGGTGCTCCATCATGGTCTGTAACTATCTGTTGGGTGTGCTGGCTCTGGGATTTCCTGGGTGGTATAACCCAAGGTCAGCCCCCTGCCTGTGTTTTGCCTGTGGCCACCCTGCCTGAGCTGTAAAGCAATTTGAGCTGGCTTCTACTAGTGCTTGGCTTGGAGATTCCCAGGTGAAGCCAAGCTTTGAATGTAGGCTGTTGCCGGTAGTGCTAGGCCTGGGGCTACTGAGGCCAGCTCTTGCTTATTTGAGAGGGGTTAGGAAATTGTGCAGCTTGAGTCAAAACCAGCCATTCATATGGAAAAGCATATTTGGTAGACCAGTACATTGGGTGGGATCTCTTAAGGTGGGTCAAACAGTGTTAGCCATGTTTATGGAGTCTCAGGGCACCAGCCCTCTGGCTCTGTGATGGGAGGGTATATAAAGGGACAATGGCCTTTTCTTGCTTTGGTGCCAGACACTTTAGTTTCTCCCTGTATGCCACTGGTGCCTTTTAAGCTGCTACTCTGCTACTGGAGCTCCGAGGGAGTCTGAGTAGGTGAGTCTGTGTACATGTTCTTTAAGAGGAACTGTTTGGTGCCCCAGCAGTTTCTTGCATTGACTTAATCTCCACTGGTTTTTGCAGCCAGAAGTTGTGGAGACTTATCTTCCTTGCACTGGAACCCTGGGCTGGGGGGGCCTGATTTAGGGCTGGTACTCCTTGCTCCCTAGATATTCCTCCCAAATGTTTATCCACCACATGTGGAGTGAGGGGCCAGCCTGTTCTGAATCTGCACCCCTTCTACCAGTCTGGATGAATGTGGTTTCTTTAATTCCATAGTTTTCAGACTTCTGCTCAACTCAATTTCTGACAGGTCTAAGTGATGGCTGTTCTTTATTTTATTTGTAATTTTGATACGGTTGTGCAAAGAGGTGAGCCATGTCTGCCTATGCTGCCATCTTGACTGGTAGTCTGGGGCTTAGGATCTTAAGTGTCAAGGAAATGTCCCTTGAGAAACTGATATTTGAGCAGAGAGCCAAAGGATAATTAAAGAGTCAGTTAGAAGGAGCTGGTTGAAGTAGTGCTTACCGCAGATTGAACATCATGTGTAAAGACCTGGATGTTAGGGAGCTTGATGTGACTAGGTTAGAATTTTGTGAAACGATTGTAGAGAAAGGAAAAGTGAGATGATGAGAGAAAAGTAGAATTGCTGGGTAATCTGAGGTTGATAATGGGCTTCATAAAAATCACAGTAGCACTTCTCTGATCTGTTGTGTGACTTTCTTCATTTGCATGGGGTATTTGGTTATTTGTACAATCAAAGCTAATTAGTCATTGAGAAGCCAGTGTTCCCATCCTCTCTACAGCTGTGTGATGACTTTCTTCCGAGTCATCTTGTCTTCTGGTCAGAGGTTCCCTTCCACCTTCACTCCATGACTAAAATGTAAAACTTAACTCTTATAAGGAAGAAGTAGTCTGCAAAGGAAATGTCCCCACTTTGGTTCTTCAGCTAATTAAGTAAAACCTAAATTAGTCAGTTTTTAATGGGGACAAGTAATACAAGTAATAGGATTTGGGCGTTAACATCTTGATATTTTATTTTATTTAAGATTTTTATTTAAAAATTTAAATTTAAAAAATATTTATTTATAGAAAGAGGGGAAGGGAGGGGGGAAGAGGGGAAGTAAAACACTTCCCCGTGTTTATGGCTGTCATGTACCCCCTACTGGGGACCTAGCCTGCAACCCAGGCAAGTGCCCTGACTGGGAATCGAACCAGTGACACCTTGGTTCTCAGGCCTGTGCTCAATCCACTGATCTGTACCAGCCAGGGCATATTTTTATTTATTTATATATTTTTAGACAGAGGGGAAGGGAGGAAGAAAGAGAAGGAGAGAAACATCAGTGTGTGATTGCCTCTCGCATGCCCCCCTACTGAGAATCTGGCCCACAACCCAAGCATGTGCACTGACTGGGAACTGGTGACCCTTTGGTTTGCAGGCTGGCACTCAATCCACTGAGCCATACCAGCCAGGGTAACATTTTGATATTTTAATAATTTTAAAAGGTCTATTCTGGGGGGAAAATTGTCTCTCCACATGTTACAAAATTGGGAGATAGGGCGTATCAGAAATACACTTAACATGTTAATGGAAAACCATAGGGTTATTAATTTTTTATTTCTATCTCTCTAACAGCCCTCTCTATGCTATGCTAAGAAGGAATCTTGTTGCGTTAACCACTGCTACTGCAGGTATGATCTCATTATATTTTTTCAGTCTGTATCACAGCTTTGAATTTGGGGGGGAGCAAATGATGGGAAGGGAAAACAAGGATCAGGGTGGAGGTGGAATGCTGTCTTGGCATGACTTGGAGGGACACCATTACACATGTGATTACTATGCTATTTATCTTTTCATTGTGAAAAATTTTCAATGTATTAAAGATAGATTGTTATAATTAATGTGTGTGCCTCTTAGGCTTAGTAATTGTTAACATTCACCTATGTTTGCTTCATGTAGATATTCTTTTAAAAGCTCTAACAGATTAGGATTTTTTAAAAAACATAACTACAATGCCATTATTATACCCAACAGTATAATAGTACACTAAGTAACTCCATAATACTACCCAATAGCCAGTTTATGTATAGTTACCCCCTGTTATCTCAGAAATATCTTTTACATTTGGCTTGTTCAAAGGCCATATTTGATGCAAAGCCCACACATTGCATATGTTGCTAACACTCTTTTTGTTATGTCATTTATTTGGTGAAGATTGGATCACTTGTTGCATTTTCTGCATTTTAGAGTTAGCAGAATGTATCCTTGTGATGTTAATTAACATGTTTCCTCTATTTTTGGTAAACTAGTAGTTCTTGGATAGATTCAAGTTTAAATTTTTTGCTGATAAGGTTTCGTAGGTGGTGTTTTGTACATCTATTGCATTACATCAGAGTCATGTAAGGTCTTATGTCTTTCCGTGGTAAGGTTTTGTGGGCTCACATAGTTATCAGCCTGATCCACCTATTATAAAAGTCCCCCAAGAACCTTTGACCTAATGGTTTTAGTTTTCTGTTATCCAAACTAATCTGTCTTACACTTTGCTTGATTCCATACCTTTTAAATACTGCCGTTTGAGTTTACTAGGTGTGTACAGGTATGCTTTGGGTCTGAAGTGTGGTGTGTTAAGAGATAAGTGAGTTAAATTGGAGATAGCTGAAATGTAACTCTCTCACTCATTTCCAAGTAATGCAACTTTTTCCCTTCAAGACAGCACTTTAGGTTGGCTTTCAATAGTTTATTGAAACAAATACCTTGGAAAAGAATCTGTTCCTAATAGAGATTTACATTTTAAAGTGAGAGCAAATTTTGAAGCCTGTTGGTTTCACTGAGCCTTTGCCCACTTCACCCAGCTGTAAATTTCTGTTTGAGGGGGAAGGCCTCGCAAATGATAGCTTGATTTGAAATTCAATCACTTGAGAAATAAGGCTTTTCTGTGATACTTACTACATGCTTGAAATACAGAGAATTTTATATTTGCTGCTGTACATTTCAGTAAATTTTTTTCTCTGATCTGTTCTCTGAATATCTGGAGTAGGTATAATTCTCACTTTTTTGTCTCTCATTTTCTTTCTCATATTCCCTTTGCAAAATTTAACATGCCGTTTCAATAATCAACATTTATATAACAAATGTTTTAATAGATCCTCACAACAACCCCGTGAGGAAGGTCTAGAGATGCAGAAACTAAGATTTTTTTTTTTTAAATAAGTAATTTGGATGCCATTGATTAAGTGGTACAGGAGACACTTCTAATTGGCGAGCCCTTGATTTTTTTTTTTTATTGTGCCACACATTGCCCAACCCTTGCTTGTAACAGAATTTGCTCCAATTAGTTTTTAAACATTTTTTCCTCTGAACATTAAATCCTTAAAATGTTTTAATCTTTTCTTTGAACATTTTGAACATTAAATTTTTAAAACAGTTTATTTTTCAGCTTGTCACTTTGAAATAATTTCACCTGCAAAAAAAATTACAAAAGTATTATGAGGAGTTCCTTATAGTTTTTACCTAGATTGCCCAAATGGTAACATCTTACATAACCATTGTAGAAGTAACTGTGTCTGCTTTCACTTGTACTTGAATTAGTACTTGCGGTTGATTTTTGTAAGATGGGTTACCTGCTCTGCGTTTTACTTGAAAGGACACATGAGATAAGTGTCTTCGGTATCACCTATTTTACATCTTTGCAACTGAGCCAGATCTTTTATTTTGGTAGTTGAAGAAAATATTTAAACTGAAGGGTTTTTTTGTTTTTTTTTTTTTCAATCTTCACCCAAGGATGTGTTTATTGATTTTAGAGAGAGGGGTGAGAAGCATCGATATGAGAGAAATATTGATTGGTTGCCTCCTATATGTGCCCCAACTGGGAATTGAACCCTCCATCTAGGTGTGTGTCCTGACTGGAATTTGAGTCCCCAACTAACTGAGCCAGCCGCCTGGCCAGGGAGACAGTGGTTCTTTTTTCCTCCAGATTTCCACATTCATTAAGTGAATTATATATGACAAACTTTGAATTTATTTTTAAATTCTTTAGTGCATTATAGTTTTCTTAGCTAACTTTTTTTTTTGCTTCTGACTGTTGTAACCTAAGTAAGGTGATAGGTTTTAGAATATAAATGACAATCAAATGATAGTAAAAAAGTGCTTCATCTACATTATATGTTGACTGAGCTTGAAGACCACTATGATCAGAAAATGCAGATAGCTTCTCAGTATTTCCATTTATCTATAACTGCTTCTAGAAATAACGTCCTTTATAATTACAATTTTGAAAATGTTTGTTTTGTGCAAAACAACTGAATTATGAGACCAGTTGTGTAGGATCTGTATTCTCTGCCAGTCTTTATTTAGATGAGGATATTTTTAAATTTTTAAATTTATTTTCAGAGTGAAAGAGGGTAAGGCTGGGCGGGGGGTATGGGGGTGGCAGTGAGGGATGGGGAGAGAGAAACATCGATTTGATGTTCCACTTACTTATGCATTCATTGGTTGATTCTTTTTTTTTTTTTAAGTTTTATTTATTTATTTTTAGAGAGCAGGGAAAGGAGGGCAAAAGAGAGAGAAACATCCTTCAGTTGCCTCTCGAATACCCCCAACTGGGGACCTGACCTGCCACCCACGCATGTGCCCTGACCAGGAATCAAACCTGCAACCTTCCAGTTTGTTGGCTGGTGCTCAGTCCACTGACCCACACTAGCCAGGGTCTGGGGTTGATTCTTGTATGTGCCCTGACTGGGATTGAACCCGCAACATTGGCATATTGGGATGATGCTGTAACTAACTGAGCTACTTGGCCAGGGCCTAGCTGAGGATATTTTCCATAATGTCTCTGGACCTGATTGATGGTAGTCCAGTCCATGATAGACTGACTTATAAGCATCTTAAATTATGTATAGTCTGATACAGTGAGTGGTCCAGATTATTAAACTCTCAGAAGCTAAGTTTTTACTTCCTGTTTTGTTTGAAAATTTTCAGGACCTTGAATATATTTCTTTGAGAGTATGTAAGAATTTCTCTCAGGTTATTGTTTCCTGTGCATCTTTTAACTGGCCTTGAAAAAAACTTTCTCTGCTTCTTCTTCTTTCTTCTTAGGAAATGTTTATAGTAGCTGGGAAAAATAAGACCTGTTGATTAAAAAAAACCTAATCTATATTCAGGTTGATGGGGATTTAAACTGTGAAATCATCATTGACATTAGAATGTAAGTTTACATGAAGATGCTGTTGTGTAATGAAACAAGTGAGAAATTTCAGATTTTCAAATTTTATAATCTTTTATAATTTCTTATCATTTGAAAGTAAAAATTAAATGAAAAAGCCAAACCTTTTTTGTTGTTATTTATAGTTAGGAAAATTTGGTAATAAAATACCTATAGAAAGAGATTGTAAAAATATGCCCCATTATTTCCTCTTGCAATCACTTTTCATATTAAAGTTTGAAAGCTTGCTGTGGAAGAACATTTTTTGGTCACTTTTTCATTTTCCCCCACATTATACTTTGGTAATTTATTTTGATTATAGCCTGTTTTGGTTTTTGCGCTTTTTACCAGTTTTGATTTTTGTGTTCCTTTTGGATGAGAGCCTTGTTCAACCAACATGGAGAAGTTCATCTCTAGGGACCAAACCTGGCTCCAGGGCTGTTTGCTGAGGTCCTTTTTGTGTGGAAAGAATGGTTATTACCAGGGAAGGTTTTCTTTTGTTTTACTTGCTATCCAGATGCTGCTCAGACTCTCGCTATCGCACAGGATCAAAATCTGGATATTCCAAGTCAAGACCAACTGAAGGTAAAATCACCACATGGTGACTTCTTTTGTTGTACAGAGTGGCCCCTTCTCTGTACCTATGGATCTTGGCCTCCCAAGACCTTTTGCTTAATGTGGTAAGAATTTAATAAGAAAGGTTCTTGGGAGTTCACAGACCAGGGACAGAGCGAAAATTCTCTGTTCTATCCATAACAGAGCCCCAGGCTCTGAATCTTTCTTTGGGATGTAGCACTTCTGATCTTCAGTTTTTCCAGTCGCATTTTCTTTGTGTGAGCACCTGTGTGTGTGTGTCTGGTGGTATATGTTCATAGGTGTGTGAAGAAACAGACTAGATTTTAACAGACTTGTCGCAAGTACTTACTTAAGTTTATATCAGGCTGTTTCCTTTTCTTTTTTCTTTTTTACATTTTTGATATTTTATTCCTGCTAAATCACACTTCAGTTAGTCATAAGACTCATCAAAAGAGAGGAAAATCAGAATTTTGTGCTTATTCTTATGTTTGTACTTGCAGCCAACAGTTCAGTGACAAACTTAGATTTTGTTAATCAGTTACAAATACTGATCCCAGTCTGCTGCTGTGCTTCTTTCTGCCGTAATAAGTAGCTTATGCTGAAAAAGAATCACCATCTTCATAGCTGGAGGCTATTTCTTAAAGCTTCCCCAAACCTGGGAAAACTTTATGACCATCTTGGTATATGGTGAGGATTTCTCATGTTTTCTGAATTATACCTAATTTTGTAGTAGACTAAAGGATTTATATTGATAGCCTGTTTTTAACAGTAGATTTTGTTCTTTTGTGCAGAGATTCCCCTCCCACCCCCAGGTTTGGGATTCTCCTAGCTGTGTTCACAGTGGGTTGAGATGTTGCCTTTATTTGATGACTCCTGTGAACCTCAAGTTCTCTTTCTTGTGTGTAACCCATTGTGTCGCACACTAGCTGTTGAGCCAGAACGGAACTGCTACATCCCCTGGTCTCAGTTGTTTCTGCTGCACTGATGCACGCCTTTCCCTTCTTTTCAGCAAAGTGCAGAGGAAAGTTCCAGTTCCAGGAAAGGCCCTGAAGAAGGCAGTATTCCCGCACTGCCTACCTTACAGTGCAAACAACTTTCTAGAGAAAGTAAGTTTGGGATTAAGGCTGTGTAGACTTTTCTTTCTTGTTGATGACTTCTAGAAATGGTATCTCTCCATATTAAGCACTAGCTGTAATTAATGCTGTTATATAGACAACTAAAAAAATAGTAATGCGATCTCTTTGTATGTAAAGTGGGGGGGCATATGTCATACTTGCTTCTCATTCTTTTCTGAAGATCTTTTTTTTTTCTATCCTTTTTACTATTGTTCACTTTGAAGAAGATGGTAGTGCTCTTTTAGCAGCTGATGATTACTGGGATGGTGCAGGCACTTCCTTTAGCTAGCAAGCTTAATAGAAGATGGGTATACATTGATCAGTTTGCCAGGTGGTAACTTAGCTGCCTTGGCCTTTTAAACCTTGGCACCCCTGTACATAATTTAGTTTGGTTAGAATTTTATTTTGATTCATTAGTTGGATGCAAATTTTCATAGGTTTTGAAGTTTGAAAAATAAAATATACTTAGTATCTCACAGTCAAGAACAAGACAGAGGTGGCCTCATAGTTCTTTTGCCCTTGAGTGGTAGTTATTAGATCTTTGCCATCCATAATAGATATAGTATGGTTAGGTTAAATGAGTTCATTGAAGTTTCCCCTGAGCCCTACTTTATAAAATATATCCTAAAACTTTTCTGCAAAAATGTATAAAGTCAAAAATTCCCCAAGGGTATTTTATGCCATGAAGGCCTAGGCTCACGTTTTGAGCAGTGGCTGGAAAGTTATACTGTAGAAATTGTTTTAAATGTTTAAATTAAAATTGTATCAGTTTATCAGCTGGGTTGTTTTCCTCAAGTTGCATTTGATTGCAAACAGAATATTGGGCTAATTGTCTTGGGGCTTATTCCAGTCTTATGGCATTAAATGTATAATTTTGTTTCTTTAAATGCAGTGTTTTGTTTATTTTCTACTTAGAAGGCTGTTTAAAATATAAGAACAGTCAATTCAAGAAACTGTATGCATTTTATGATATAAATTTTGAGAATAAATAGCTTAATATTGTCAGGAAGATGTATAGGTAGAAAGGACAGAATTTTTATATGTGGGAAGAATGGTCTATTTCCATTTCCTGCATGAGAAGTTACAGGGCTTGACTAGGTGAAGATACTTTAATACTTATCTTAGGAGCTTGGTTTCTGATAACTTCGGCAATAAGTGAGTGAAAAGGGAGTTGACATTTCCCTGAGCACAGATCAACCTTTCAATAGGCTGGATCAACATAATTTGTAAGCAGGTGAAGTAAATTTTTGTTATAGCAGGGACCCATTATTATGAATTTTTTTTAAACATATGTACTTCACATTTAAACACCCGTGGTTGCCATTGATCTGTCTAGTGCATTGGGAGAAGAGGTAGAGGAGAGGGAGAAAGGAAAAGAGTAAAACACAACAAAAAAGATTGCACAATAGGAAAGAAAAAATTTTATGTGGTAGCAACAAACATGTTAGTAACCGCCTTGAATGTCATTTAGATGTAGGACAGAGGATCTTTTACATGGAATATGTTGGGGCCTTAATGTGTTTTGGATTTTCAATACTTTTGGATTTTAGATATCTTAACTCGGAAAGAACCCACTGATCCCAGAAGGGACATATGTATGTATTTATTTGGACACCCTAGGGTCTGGCATTTTACAGTGGTTATTACCTGTCAAACATATGAATTATTGAGAAATGTCCCAAAATGTGTGTTACCAAGGAGACTGCCTTGACAACCCTGTGTTTTCCTGTCTTGTCCTACATCACCTCCTATCTCAAGGGTTTGGCCACTGTGCTATTACCACATGCAGTCCAGTAGAGCAGCTATTATTAGATACCATGTACTAGAGCAAGAGATTCTTTAGTTACTACAGTGGTAGGAATGTTTAAAATGCCGGTAAGGAACCCTTAGAAGCCATTTTAGAACAATGTCATTATTTGGATGCTTTCAGAGTATAGATTTCTTGATAAATGATTTATCTATTTCTAGTGTTGTAACTTGCTAATGAAGTCTAAACAGGGGAGGAGATTTGGGCTCTGCTACTAAGGTATTTGGTTTCTGAGTCTTTATTACTGGGAGTAGGAATTATTTTTTACTTATAAAGAGATTATAAGAATTATAAAGAGTCTTGATGCTTAAGGGTTGTGTACATAGTTGTTATCATCCTTTTCATTTGACTTCTGTAGATGAAGACTTGATAGAAAATTTAACTCAAGATGAGACATCTAGGCTGGACCTCGGGCTTGAGGAGTGGGATGTAGCCGGCCTGCCTTGGTGGTTTTTAGGAAATTTGAGAAACAATTATACACCTAGAAGTAATGCCTCAACTGATTTACAGACAAATCGGGTAAATTTCTGTTTGAAGAGGAACTTTTTTTTCCCGTTTGAAAAGAGTAACATTCTTACTCTTGTCCGCACATGACATTCTCTAAGAATTCTCATACAGTGCTGTGACTTGTGCCATCTGTATACAGACAATGCGCAGATCTGTGTCTTCAGTCCTGACCTCTCCCCTGAATGCTCAACTTCCGTACCTAGATGCCTACTTATGCAGCACCTCTGCTTAGATGATCTGACATTTAACACATTGAAAACAGAACTTTTTTACTTTTTTTTTAACTTAACACTCCTATCCAGCCTGTCTTTTGTAAGTCTACCTTCTACCAGTTATTCCAGCCAAATATCAAGGAATATGATGGATTTCTTTCTCTGTCACATGTCACATTCAGGTTATCCAAAATGTCCAAAATCTAACCAACCACATATTATTACTTCTGTTGCTGGACCCTAATTTAAGCCATCATTATTCTGTTCCTTTATCTTATTTTGTATTCTCCATAGTATTTCTTGCTTTGTAAAATGATTATTTTATTGTGTTTATGTATGCCTTGACTATTTATCCCTACTGGAATATAAGTCCAGGGCTTTTGTATTACTAACCACTCTATTCTGTTGCCTCTTACCTAAAACAGTATCTGACACATACTAATCGTTCACTGAGTATTTGTTCAGTGAATGAATGGGCATATATGGCAAAATAATAAGTTGTCTCTTATGAATATTGTAGAAAAGCATGTCATAAAATGTCCATAGTTGAATGCAGAAAGAAAGTTACATTTAAAGTTGTTTAAGATCAGAAAGTGGAGAGAAGGTTTGAGTTACTGTCAGTATTTCTCATATTTCTTTAATAACCTTTGGTCATTAAAGGAAGGAATAACTCACAATTAATAGAATGTTTTTTAGGTTCTCAGAGTGCCACTTGTGGACATGAATGTAGGGAATGGATTCTGTAAGCTCTTTAGTACTGTTTCTCAGGTGTTAACGCTGATATACTATTAAATCAGAAAACTCCTCACCAGGCACCCATACATCCATTAGCTTTTACATAGTAGGTGCCGGGTAGATATATGCTGAATGAGTAGATGTCCATTGGAGAAAGGCTAGGTGTTTGCAGACATGTGAGGACACTGAGTTTTGGGTTAATTTATGTTGGTTCAACATCTCTGATAAGCCTCCAACTACAAAAACTCATGTTTGTTTTTTTCTGTTAGGATGTAGGAACTGCCATTGTTTCAGATACGACTGATGACCTGTGGTTTTTGAATGAGTCAGTATCAGAGCAGTTTGGTGTTGGAGTAAGAGTTGAAGCTGCTGGTACTGAACAAACAAGTGAAGAAGTAGGGAAAGTGAGAGACAAAATGGTATGTTGTGGAAATATTTCACATTGATTGTATTTGTGTGTATAGAATCTATTCAGATCTGGTGATGTGACCTGTACTATACTGCTTTGTACAACCAATTACTCCCATAATCTCCCCTTTTTTCTTCTTAATATTTTCCTATATTAATGTTCAGATTCATACCGAGTTAATCAAGGGTGTCTTAAAAATAGGCTAGGAGTCCATGGATAAAGCTCCTTCTTTGTTAGAAGCAATAACCTAGCTTTTTCTTGGTTGCCTGGTTTCTAGTGAGAGAGCTTTTTCTTCTGGAGACCTTGCTTTGCTAATAAGGCAAAATTCTAAATGGCCACAATAGCCTGTAGGAAATAAAAAATCCTATTTCTAAGACATCTCAATGGCTTTCATAACCATTTTATACCCAATGGAAAGAGATGAGTTTTTCCTAAATACTATAGATGTTAAGGGGGGGCGGCGTAGAATTCTGAGTGCACATGATGTGACTACACCAAGATGGAGAGTCAGATAAGCATGTGCTCAAAAAATAACTGGGCAGCAGACCCCAGTGCCTGACATGGTCAAGAATCTCATCAAATATCCACTGAATAAATAGCAAAAATATAGACCTAAATTGGATACTTCTTTTAATTTAAGGAATTTTCATAGTAATTTGTGTTCCTAAAGGGGATATCCTCTGTGTTTGTGGTAGGCAGATGGATGCTTGGGTTCTCTTAGATGAGTCATATGGGTAGCATTAGGAGGAAATGCAAGTGGCCAGAATGAAGACAGAGGTGACATTTGGAAACTTCTGTAGAGAGATGGGACTTAAAATACTTGAACTTTTGTGAGAAACTTGCTATACAGAGTGTCATAATTATATTATAATTGGTTTTATTCCATTTAATATGTCATAATGGGTTTTAATTTTTAGAATTTTATATTCTAAATTGTACAATTCAGAAAACACTTTCCATATTTCTTTTGTTTCCTGGTTTGTGGGCTTTTTTTTTTTTTTAAGATTTGTTTATTTACTCCTAGAAAGAAGGGGAGGGAGAAAGAGAGGGAGAGAAACATTAGTGTCTGGTTTCCTCTCATGCACCCCCTACTCGAGGCCTGGCCTGCAACCCAGGCATGTGCTCTGACTGGAAATTGAACCAGCTGTGCACCCCCCCCCCCCGCGCCCCCCCCCCCCACCCCGTTTTGCAGGCCGACACTCAGTCCACTGAACCACACCAGCCAGGGTTGTAGGCATGTTTTTTGTGGGACAACCAGAGCATCATGTATCTAGTTGTACTTTTGAATATGACGAATAAAATTTTAAATACTTTGTTTTCATTCTTTACATTTAAGTTACTTACTTAATACAGTCTTAAAATGCCTACATAGAGTTCCAAGATAAATTTCCACATTTAATGGTAGCTTTTCTACTCAAATACTGTTTTGTTTTGTTTTTTTTAAATTGTAACTTGGGCACCCTCTTCCTTCTGAATGCAGAAGATACTTGGTCACCCTCTGGGTGCTAGATGTGCACAGAACCATGTTTTTGGTCTCATATTTAAGCTATCTCTTTTGAAAGTGGTAGTGATGGAAGCAGCATGTGAGCTTTCAATGGAAGCTCTTTTGTCTTCTCTGCTCTGTGGTAATAACCTCATGTGAAATAGGTAAACCTTACTAATAAGATGTCTTTGCCATCACAGGTGATTGAAGCAGGAAACAGTGATGACCTTGAGGATGCTCAGTCCATATGTGATGATACTGATGTAGAGGTTGCCTCTGAGGTATGAGTCTCTGGGAAAAGAGCCGTTTTGCACCCTTCATGTCTTCAGATGGTGATATTCCAGCAGTTTGCAGTGAAGAATGCCATTTCCCCCATCTTTACCTTTCCTGGATGATAGAGATGTTGATTTCTTTACATTTTGTTAAGAGATTTTTATTGAAATTTGAGAAGAGATGACTTGATCTGTCTTCTTTCTGCCTTGGAAAGGGATGACTTAAATGCTTCTTTGTGTGCCTTTCTCCCTGCCATAGAAACTCTTTGTATACAATGTAGTGAGTACACAGTTACTCAGAACAGTCCTGCACTACTTTTCCCACTAACATCTCTGTAATGCCAAAGCTAGACTTAAAAGCTGTCTATAATTCTTTGTCAAGTATAAAAATTACATTTGCAATGCTTTCTTAAAAAGAAATGGAAAATGGCTTAGTTTTCACACAGATTTATATTAATGGAGGGCTAATAAGTGAAGATTTAGTATTAAGGTTTCAGGTAATAGGTGTGGGTTTGTCAGCAATTTATAACTCAAGCGTAGACACATATGCATTCCTTGTTTTTCTGTTTTCATGCTAGCTCCCCATTTTCCTTTAAGTACTCTCCTGAGCTAACTCACTGAAAAAAAAGGGAAGGCTAAGGAGGGGGTTTTACTTTTTGCTGCTTGGGGATAGAAAAATTTTAGGTTGTCTCTGGTGTTGATACCCCCTCTACTCCCATCCTACCACTATTGACCATTATAGTAATAATTTATTGCAAATTATTTGTGCATAGCTAAGTAATAAAGTAGAATATATTGGTCCATTAAGTGTTCTTGACCATAATAAAAGTAGCAGAGTAAAGTGTGTATATCTTCATCAGACTTCTGTGGCTACTTGGACCCAGAAAACCTATTAAGGAAATAGACTGTTTTCATCCAATCAAAGATGCCATTGAATTAAACAAGCCATTATTTTTATGTACTACTAGAAAAGTTGATGCCAATTAGACTATGACACACCACCAATTGTGAATTCCAGATATTTATGAAGTTCCTTTGAGTATTTGTGTAGTGTTTGTATGGGATCTGAGGATCTTCAACAGGCACAAGAGTGTTTTGAGACTCTCTGGAGAACATCCCACTTTAACAAATGGTGGTTTCCCTGTCTCTTGGTCTGGGCAGTTGAGTTATGTATGACTTCCAAACTTAAAGTGCTTTTTTGAAAGCAATTAGTTCAGCCTGTGTCAAAGCCAGGCAGTTATCTGCATTAAATACTACTGACTTATTCCAGGTAGCAACCTTTGAATTAAGCAAGGCATGTAAAATGTATTGAGCTCTAGGATCTTCTAATTTGAATATAGTAAAGTAGGAAAAATTCACTTGGCATTCAAGGATAAGAGCATTCATTTTTTCAGAGTGTAAGTTGGGCATACAATTAGCTACCTATGATTTTGAAAGCAGTGAGAAAGCACGAATACATTTAATAGTTTTTAAATCTCAGAATTGCAGCTCTTTTTTGCCAGATGTTATAACATTTCTTAAATAATAGGAAAGAATGAGAGTAGTATCTCTTCTTCATTCTGTATCTCTTAACTCAATATAAGAGTTAGTTGTACAAAAAGAAATGATCTAAAAAGAAGGCAGTGGGGAAAAGTAAACAGTATAAATTCCACTCAGACTAACACACCAAAAAATTAATTTAACTTTTTAAAGGTTGCTATATCAAATTTTGGCTTGAATTGGCAATTGTGTAACTATCAAAGTGGCTGTACAGTTTATTTTAATTCTAGGCTAGACCTGGGGCTTAGTGAGAAGAGAATTTGTCTTACCTTCCCTTTCTCTCAGCATCCAGTTCCCTACCAACTGAGTGTTAATTGGCTGCACTTATCTTTGTAGGATGAATGGCAGTGTACTGAGTGCAAGAAATTTAACTCTCCAAGCAAGAGGTACTGTTTTCGGTGCTGGGCCTTGAGGAAGGATTGGTATTCAGATTGTTGTAAGTTAACCCACTCTCTCTCCACATCTGACATCACTGCCATACCTGAAGAGAAGGAGAGTGAAGGAATTGATGTCCCTGATTGTCGGAGAACCATATCGGCCCCAGTCGTTATACCAAAAGATGGATGTAGAAAAGAAGAAAACCCCAGACGCTTTGACTCCTGCACCTCGGTGGAATTTTTGGATTTGGCTCATAGATCTGAAAGCCAAGAGACCATATCAAGCATGGGAGACCAATCGGCTGATCTTTTTAAACAGAGAACGGCTGTAGGAAACATGGAGGATTGCCGTAATCTTTTGAAGCCATGTAGTCTGTGTGAGAAAAGACCACGAGATGGGAACATCATTCATGGGAAGACGAGCCACCTTGTCACTTGTTTTCACTGTGCCAGAAGATTAAAGAAGGCTGGGGCTTCATGTCCTATTTGCAAGAAAGAGATTCAGTTGGTTATTAGGGTTTTTATAGCATAGCTGAATCAATGAATTACAAAAATATTAACAGAGCCAGAGCATGTAGCAAAACATCAGTATTGAGGATTTCCACGTGTGTGATCCATCATGCCCATTTATTTATTCCTGTTTTTCAGGACATTTTGCTTCCAAACATGGAAATTGAGAATGAATTCTTCAGAACTAGATCATTAATTTGGGGGCTCAATTAACAGTGGGGTCTTTCCAGATATAGGAAGTAGAACAAGAGTCTTTTATTTAGCATCATATTTAATTTCTAGAGGATAAGCGTTGTTAAAATCCAAGAACTTTAAAAGTAGGACGCACCCATATACTCAGCCCCTTTTATTTTGCACATGAGGCTAAAGGTTGAGTGGCTGCAGAAAGTCAGAGCTAATACTAGAATCCAGATCTATATTTTTAAATTATTTTAAGTAAATCTTTAAGCCATACTTGCTTTCTTTTCATTAGTTGTTAAATATTTAAATGGTGGTGCTTATTGAATTTGAAACAACCCATAGCCTTAAAATACTGGAGAATATGACTTGGTAGCCAAAGTTGGCCTTTAGATAGAACAGTAGTTTCTAACAGGTTTTCCCAAAAGAGAGAAGGTCCCCTAAATGTCAGGCTTTTTTATATAATCAGGTAAGTGATTCCTCTTACTGGGAGGGGAAGTAAAGGTGGCAAAGGGCCCTGAAGCATATTCTCCAATATGGTCCCTTCTCGGGAGTACTGCTCACAGATCTGCCTCTAGGGACAGGGACAAGGGCTTCCCCTGGTAAATGGGACTAGTCCTTTGAGTTGAATATTTTGTTAGGCTATAGTAAATGTTTTAAAACTTAAGAAACTTACATTACTTCCTTCCCTGTTACTCCCCCAGTACTCGTTTCTTTGTGTTAGTTTGACAGCCCTCAATTTTATTTTTTCTGGTCAAGTGTTTTTGCAAGTGACACCTTATGAGAGGCAGGGAGAATTGGGGATCTGCACTAGGATCTGTGATTGCCCCTTATATGAAGTTGCAGTTTTTTAGAAAACTTTAAAAAATCTTAAAATTTTATTCATATTTGTAGATAGTTGATTTGGGTGCATCCTTGTACAGAATCCTCTTACGGTACTCAGCTTTCCTTCTTTTCTGCTTTGTTCATCTGGGTTTTTCATCCTTCCCATTAGGACAAAGTACTTTGCTTAGAAGGTCCTTGATCTGAGTGAGCTGAAAGGATAATAAACCTACATGAGTTTGCTGTACCTCCGTGGAGCCTTTTGAATGACTGACACTGTTATAGAGAAATGTATCTGCAGAAAGAGGTAGTCAGTATTTCTTGGTATTTTATATAAATCCAAGATGCTGCTTCTGCAAAATGTTTTCCTTCATCCAGAATCCTTATTTAATGTCTTCTGGGAGTATAGCTCAGGAAGTAGAACTCATAATTTCTTGGAGGTAGAATGAAATGGGTCAGGGATCCTTAAAAGAGCCAAATACTGCTATTAGAGTAGTTTTTTACATACTGATCTGTTCGAGATTGTGTTCGTTTTTCAGTGCCTCTTCGTTACAGATTTATTTTATACTCACTGCCACTAAAGCAAGATATTTGTATGTGAAGTCTTCATAGTTCGCTACTGTAAGATAAACTCTTGACTTTCAGACACTACCATTTATCTTCAGTTGTGTTTAGGGTAACCGTATGCTCTGGTTTGCTGGAAGCAGTGGTGGTTCATCCCTGTTTTTCAGCATCATATCTGGTTTGTCTTGTCTCTCCCCTTTACTCACATGATTTCACTGAGATGTTAAATTCTGTTGTCTCCCTAGTAAACTACCCTGAGTTGAGATCCTGACTGAGAGGAAAGAGTCTGTTAAAGTAGGTGTCAGTGGAGTTTATCTTTTCTGCTGTATTGTGCCACAGAATTGTGATTGTTCAAATCATCCCACATGAGCATCAGGTTTCTTATTTTGTTTAAATGAGTATTTGTGATCATATTATCCTAGACGAAAATTCAGAGCATCAGTGATGAATCCTTATAAAAACAGATTTATAGATTATAGCTGAAACTGTCTCCTGTCTTTTTTTTTTTTTTTAATATTTTATTTATTTATTTTTAGAGAGAGGGGAAGGGAAGGAGAAAGAGTGGGAGAGAAACATCAATGTGTGGTTCCTCTCTTAGGTCCCCTGCTGGGAACTGGCCTGCAACCCAGGCATGTGCCCTGACTGGGAATTGAACCGCGATACTCTGGTTCGCAGGACCGCGCTCAATCCACTGAGCTACGCCAGCCAGGGCTGTCTCCTGTCTTTTAATAACTTAACTGTACTTGTACTCCACTTAATATTTGGTATGTTTTTGTATTTGATACTTTAATCAGACTTTATACAAATTTAAGATCAAGACTTTAAAGTGATAAAAACCATTTCTGTAAAGCCAATGTATGGAATATCTTTAAGTTCTCAATTCTAGGCTTGAATAGTGTATAAGCATCCAGCCAGGCCAGCTTCCAACCTGCCATGACCTGAAATATAAAATTGAATCACTGCCAAGCATTTGAAATAATGCAGTTGTTTTAATAAATTATATATATTTAGATGTATATATTGCTTTGTAGGACATTATTTTTTTGTAAGAATTTATTTTTAAAGGTTAGGATCATTGGTAGCTTTTAAAATGCCAGTTCAATGCAATGTCACCTCCTTTGAAAAGTCATTAATGAGAAATTGATGATTGTTAGATCTTGGGTTTTGTCATGCTATTATAGTGTTACCTCTTGGTTCTCTTAAGAAAGGAGGAAACTTGTTAACTAGCTGTTTGCTTTTATTTCCCACAGAGAGCTATGTAATCTGAAAGTGTATGGCTTTAGATACTGTGAATCTTGTTTTCTGTTTAGCCAAGTGTCTGCTTAAATTGTGCAGACCCATGTCCTAAAGAAGGACTTGTGCTGCTAGTCGTCCCGTTCATGGATATACATGTGTGCACGCACAGTATCAAGACTGGTAATTCTTTCACTAAAAATGGATACAGATTAGAAACTAGCTGTGTTTAGAATCTACACTTCAAAGATAAAGGAACCTGCACATTCTTTCCTGTGCCAAAACCAAAATGTACACTGTTTACAAATGCCTGGGATTTGCACTGATGCAGGGCATGCGGAGGTTACTTTGCTGGGATTTCCCACATTTGTGATTAGCAGAGTTGCAGTTTGTCATCTGAGGGGAAATACTGAGAACTCTAAACTGGCAATGAGTACCTGAGGTGGTGGTTCAAGTGGCTCCCCAGAGCCTAATTTGGGGACAGTTTTTCTAGGTTGCTTTGACGTGTCCTTTCTGTTAACAGTTTTCTTTGTTTGCCATTGCTGTATTATTCCTTCGTAGGAGCCACCATGTCTTTTTTGTGCTGTGGGAGAATGTCCCAGTAGCATTTTAAGATCTTTTGATACAAAGAATGAGCAATCCCAACTAATGCTGTTTTCGGTGAGTGTGGTGTTGTTAAAGAAAACATAATAAATCTGTACTTGGGTTTACCTCTATCGAGAGCTTTCTGAATGACTGAAAATGTTACACAGAAAGAAGTGTATCTGCAGAATAGGTAGCCAGTATTTCCTGGTGGCTTATCAGAAATGCAAGATGTTGCTTCTGCAGATGGTGTTCCTTATCCAGGATCCTTATTGATTCTGCGAGTGTAGCACAGGAAGTAGTAGAACTGAGCATTTCTTGGGGGTAGAATGAATCAGGGATATAAAAAAGAGCAAGTACTGGTATCAGCAATTTCTCTGTCAGAGCAGTTGTGGAATTAGGCAAATGCTTTATTGAAAATTGGCCTTAATCATTATAACAGCATGAGTTTATTAGTACACCTACTTTGTTATTCCAGGGTGTTTTTTAGGCAGTGACTAGTTGATGTCAGACATTTCCCCTTCCTCCCTTCTTTACTGTTGCTCTTTTTCTTTTTTCCCTTGGAGTTCAAAGTTACTCTCTTCTCTTTGGTATTGTTTGTATACCAGAAGCCTTCCATATACCGTGCCTTCAGGTAAGAGTCCTCTTTCCAGTAGGTCCTGGGAAATGTTTCTGTTGCAGAGTTAGTTGGTGGATTGTAGCAATAAGGAAGGGAAGCTGTGACATCAGAGTGACTGATGTCACAACAACTTGCAATTGAAGCTTTTTTAGTGTCTGTCATGGGGGAACAAAGCAATTAGTTCCCCTATGTCTCAGCACTAAGAAATTGAGGTCAGTCTTCTATCTTCCTGCAGGAGGATTATGTCTTTCTCTTTATAGTTGGCATTGGTCCTCCCTTTTAAAAGTAGTAGAGAATGTTTTCAAAGAGGAATGAAATGTTTCTGCCCCCTTGGCACTTGGCAAGATATAGGGGTCTTAAGCAGCCTGTGAATGGGAGTCTCCTTCGTTTATAGCTGGATGCTTGTAAGAGCCTCTTAGAGATAAGGAGTAAGATGATTGCACTGCCTTGAGTCCCACTCCTGATCTTCCTACACCTCAGTGTTTCTCATTTGTAAAGTGATACACATAACTACCCTCTGTACCTCATGGTTTGTTGTGAGGATTAAGTATGTGGGAACAATGAAACTTGCAATAGCCTTGAACAAGATAGTACAAGTTGTTATGCTTTTGCTAGACTGAGCTCTGGGGTTTTCATAAAGTGGGAAGAAAATGGCAATTTAAAATAACTCTGAATAGTTGCATGCTCACTAAAATGATAAGCACCACTAAATAGTTGTATGTCTTTTTGGTGTTCGCACTTTGTAATGCTTTTAAAATACCTGTTGATTCTGTTGTGCTTTTTTGTGTAATAAATATTTTTAATTTTGCCATTTTGTGGTGTCATTATTGGGGAAATATGTAAGTTTGCTTATATACAGCACAATCTCATTTTCTGTTTTGACATTCAAACTTTGATCTTATTTGGGGATGAGAATAGAATAGCGTTTGCTGTAGAAGTTAGTGTACTTAGCTGTGGCTGGTGTGGCTGGTGGATTGGGCCCTTTTCCCACTCTTCCTGCCTTCCCATGCTCTAAAAGTAAAGCAATAAAATCTTAAAAAAAAAAAAAAGTTAGTGTACTCAAACAGCAACTTTTAGTATTTCCCTTTAGCTACTATAGAGTAATTGTATTTCAGTTTTAGGTACCCAATCCTGAAGGAAACCTCAAAATTTGGCAGAGTATTTTTAAATAGTGAATTATGGAGTGTTTTCCCCACTAGAGATCTTGAGAATTAGAAACTGTGGACTCTGGGGTCTGCATGTCTGGAGTGATTTTAGGCAAGCCCTCTCTAGGCACAAGTGTGTACATAATCTGAACCCATGAGTCCATGCTCTTTGTTACTGAAGAGATTTCAAATGGTGAGATGATGGGTTTGTCTGTTGAGTTTACAAAGAGTACCTGGTGAATTGTGGCTAATCCAAAGAGATACTGAGGGCTTCTCACAAAAGTGCACATTGATTATATGCTTAGCATCTGATACGTTCTCTAGCAATGGTTCTTAAACTTTGGGGATTATAGCCCCTTTTGAAAAGCAAATGAAATTTAAGAAATTTCATTTAAAAAATGCAGAACATTACACATTCACTGTCAGGAGCTACATTGAAGCCCCTGGTCTTCAGGTTCTGTTCCTGGGGGATATTAAAGGACAATGAGACTGCCCACAAGAACCTTGCCAGCTCACATGCTTTTCAAAGCGTTATTCCCTTATCACAAAGGCCTTTAAGGTGTGTGGAACGTCTGTTCAGTTATCCTGAGCTTATGGCCAACACATGGTTGCAGATCGGTGTGCACTGCACAACTTTGGGAGGTACCCTTCCTAGGTGCCTTAGGAATGTTATGACCTAAGGCTTCTGGTGCTGCTTGTATTGGCATTTAGTGTGGGCTGGGTCCCACACTTCACTCTTGTAAAGCCACAGCTTGAGGAGACTCTGGTGCCTACCATGGCAGAAAAGCCTAGGGAAGGAGTCCAGACAAAACAGGGATCATACTGATTTGAAGGTGTCGGGGCAGGCTGGTTCTGTGGTGCAGTGTAAAATTAGGAGGCGTATACCACAGTAGTAAACTAATGAGAGCCTGTTGTGAAGGACAGGGTTTGTCAATGAGGCAGATCAAATCTCTATTTGAAGGACAGCCGATCAATGAAACACAACCGCACAGTTGGAAGTGGAGGATGAAGATACAATTGATGTGTTCCAGCAGCTGGCGGGAGGTGTCTGCTGAAGAGGGAAGCTGCTCCAGAACTCTTCCTGCAGACCAAGAAGACATTTTCACTTGGAAAACTGCAGCTGAGCTCCTCCACGTCCTGACCACGGCTTCTTTCACTCTCCCCTTCTCCGTTTCTTTATCGTATGTAAAGTGACTTATGTAGGTGCACAAACATTTGTGTTTTTTGTTTTTTTTAATTTAATTGTTTTATTTTTTAATATATTTTATTTATTATGCTATTATAGTTGTCCCATTCCCCCCCCTTCACTCCTGTCTGCCCTACACATCCCCTCCCTCCCATGTTTCCCCCCTTTAGTTCATGTCCATGTGTCATACGTATAAGTTCTTGGCGTCTACAGTTCCTATACTATTCTTACCCTCCCCCTGTCTATTTTGTGCCTCCCATCTATGCTACTTATTCTCTACCTTTTCCTCCTACTCCTCTGTTGATAACCCTCCATGTGATCTCCGTTTTGGTGGTGCTGTTTCTGTTCTAGTTGTTTGCTTAGTTTGCTTTTGTTTTAGGTGTGGTTGTTAATAATTGTGAGTTTGCTGTCATTTTACTATACATGTTTTTTATCTTTTTCTTAGATAAGTCCCTTTAATATTTCATATAATAAGGGCTTGGTGATGATGAACTCCTTTAAGTTGACTTTATCTTAGAAGCACTTTTTAAAAAAATTTTATTGATTATGCCATTATAGTTCTATTTTCCCCCTTTCATTCCCCTCCACCCTACATCCCCCTCTCCACCATTCCCCCCTTTAGTTTATGACCATATGTCTCAAGTTCTTTAGATTCTATATTTTTCCTACTATTCTTACCCTCCCCCCTACCTATTTTCTACCTACTGTCTATGCTACTTATTTTCTGTACCTTCTCCCCCCTTCTCCTCCTCCCACTCCCCTGTTGCTAACCCTCCATGTGATCTTCATTTCTATGGTTCTGCTCCTGATCTAGCTGTCCTCTCAGATTGCTTTTGTTTTAGGTGTGGTTGTTAATAACTGTGAGTTTGCTGTCCTTTCACCGTTCGTCTTTTTTATCTTCTTTTTCTTAGATAAATCCCTTTAACATTTCATATAAGGGCTTGGTGATGATGAACTCCTTGAACTTGATCTTATCTGAAAAGCACTTTATCTGTCCTTCCATTCTAAATGAAAGCTTGGCTGGATAGAGCAATCTTGGATGTAGGTCTTTGGATTTCATGACTTGGAATACTTCTTTCCAGCCCCTTCTTGCCTGTAAGGTCTCTTTTGAGAAATGAGCTGACAGTCTGATGGGAAGTCCTTTGTAGGTGACTGTCCCCTTATCTCTTGCTGCTTCTAGGATTCTCTCCTTCATTTTAATCTTGGCTAATGTAATTATGATGTGCCTTGGTGTGTTTCTGCATTTGAATCGAGTTAAAGATACGCGACACTTCCAGTGCACTAAATTGGGAAATCTTAACTTAAACTCCAGCAAAGTGCACTGGGTAAAACTGAGTGAAGCCGCCACCTAAACATGGGACATGCTTTGGGAGTGATTGCATCTGCTTTCTCCTCTTCTTCCTACCCCCTCTCTCTAATGCTCATAATCAGGGTTTCTGGTATCCTCAGCACTGACTTAGAATTGCCTGTTAGCTCTTGATGAGTGACTGTAATATTGCTTAGTATCTCTAAGCCTCAGCTCCCTGATCCGGAAAACAAAGCCTGAAGGACAAACGAGGTAAGGTAACGCGTGTGAAGTGCCTAGCCCCTGACCTCTTTCCTCTTCCTGATTCCCTCAGAGCCAGGGGTTGCAGCTTCCTCCAACGTGAAGGACCATCAAATTTCTGGCATCTAACCAGCAGGTTAACCTTACGCCCACCAGAGGGCACCAGTAACCTATGCAATAGCAGAAGGTCCCTTTGCCTTGAAATCAGCGTGGTTGAATCCGCCCTAGGATAACCCTAGGTCCGTGATTTCCAACTCGTTTCATCTCATGGCACACATAAACTAATTACTAACATTCTGTGGCACACCACGAAATATGTTATTTTTTAAATATTTTTTGCCAATTTGACAAAAAAGGTATAATTTTGATTCACTCATACCAGATGGCTATTTGTTATGTTGGCAGTTATCTTTTTTTTGTTTGCTTGACAGTATAAGAGAAAAGTGGTCAGGGTTCCTGACTGAATAGGCAGGTATTGCATGTTTTAAAAATTCTTGTGGTACTCCAGTTGAAAATCGCTGCCCTAGGTTCAAGTCTTTATGTAAATATCCTTACCTGCTGGTGCTTAGAGGGATTATGTGTAAGACTCCTCTCAAGTCCAGGAGGGAAATCTGCTGTGAGAAGTTTAGTGTAAACAGTACTGTAACTCCAAAGCAGCCACCAAGAGAATCACGTCTCCATTTTTGATATTGTCCCATTTCTACCGTCCATTCTCAGTCTCCTTCGACTATAACCTACTTACAAATTATTCTATAATAAACCATTGCAGTCCTTTCTTCCTGGTTTATTCAAATGAACTGAATTGCTGGTTTGTCCTTTGAAGCACAGCCCCCCCGCCCCCACCCCAATCATGGCCAGACTTCCTTTCCGAGGGGGTAAGGGTATGGGTGCGGGAGGGTCTATTTCTGAGCTTCTGCCTCACTGCTGAGCCTCAGAAGCCGTTTACCTGAATCCCGTTGTGATGAGTCTACTTGTCGACAGGTACCTATCACTAGAGGCTGTGTCTTGAGAGAAAGCTCTTTCTGCATCTGAAGAACAGGGACAACTAGGAAAAGTATAGGCCACCAGGCACCACAGCCTCCCTCAAAACATCACAGACTTGCCTTGGCCAGGTAGCTCAGTTGGTTAGAGTGTCATCCCAATACACCAAGGTCATGAGTTCGATCCTCGGTCAGAGCACATACAAGAATCAAGGAGTGAATGCATTAAAAAAGTAGAACAACAAATCAGTGTTTCTAAAATCAATAATAAAAAATACCCTCCTTCATAAACTTCAGGGGAGCAATGATATTGATACAGGGTGCAGCCAAAGGGGGGGGCAAAAAAAAAAGATTTGGAATGGTGTCCAGAATTCAAAGTGTATAGGAATATTGGAGAGACATATAGGATGTCCTCACCGCCCCCCCCAGGGGGAAGAAATGAATGGAGCAGGGCCATTGAGAGCTATTTTGCATAGCAACAGTTTTGCAGCTAACCTCTGGAGTGATTATTTAACGTATCTATAACCTTTAACTGGTTTTATAGATATGTTAAAGAGCTGTGGCCAAGTTTGGAGGGAGAGAGAGAAGGCAGTGGCTGGGACTCAGGATGTAACCAGGGTCTGCGCTTCTGGGGGAGAGGGCCTGTGTGAGAGCTTGGAAAAGATGGGCTCCGGGACATGAGGGGAAGGGAAAACCACGCAGCTTTGCCAGAATGGAGATCCCTGCAGCCAGGTGAAGAAGAAAGCCACATGCTTTTGGTGGAGTGCGGACCCCTGCAGCTTTGGTAGGAGAGGCCCACACGGCTTTGGGGTGCCCCCTTTGGCCGCGTGGCCTGGAAAGCAAGAGAGATTTTGACTGGAACTGGGTACAAAGGACTCTTGCCAGTGGACCATGAGAGGGTACCACAGTACTTTGGATTAACTCGAGATCCTGCACGGTGACACAGCTGAT